TGCTAATGTCTAACCTCAATCAGTCCGCTAATCCATGTCGGGTAGAGACAGGTATTGACCTCAGACAATGGAAGATGATCGCGCGATTTCGATGATTGGTTGGGGTTAGACATTAACACCGTTGGAATCCGGCTTAGTTGTCTATAGGTTAAGCATTCACGAGCGATATCGAAGGCCCTGGGTTCGAATGCCGGAGCGGGATCGTGCACGCACACTGCTGAGGAGTCCCACAATAGGATGAAACGACCGTCCAGTGCTTCCAGGTTTTCAAAGGTGGTCTAACATCAATCGGTTCATAGTCTAAGTCAAAAACCTAATAACTTCCACAACCCTATACTGATAATTCTACAATTCACTACAAACCATCTAACTAGATTTATCTATATTCTTTCAAATAATTTATAACGATTACTTTTCTAGCAAACATGAACGAACAATGGGATAAGAAGTAAATTGGTATCAAAAAGAAACCCAAACTTTCCAAAGTTTTCAGGAAAAAAATGTTGACTTTTTCAATATTTTTGTTTTGCACTTTCACATTTGAAATCAGAAATTCATCAACAATCATTTTCTTTGACTTGATTGAAGCAGAAATTTATTTAACAATGATGCTAGTTCCATTTTTGTCAACTTTTTATCAATTCGCCGTGTATGGATTCTTCTTATTCTACTCTTGGAATAATTATCTATTATTAGATTAACAAATATTGATTTGATTTACATATATATGAAAGCCTGTTTGTTTTTTAGCTATTTCCTTTTATTAAACCCGATGTGCATGTGTGTGTGTACTTGCATGTGAATATGAAGGGATTAAAGTAAGAAGATGAAAGCATTAGTTGGTGTATCCTTTGTAATATTGTGAAATAAGCAAATGAGAAGAAATTAGAAAATTGAGAGATGGAAGGACAGGAAATTTCTTCCTAATTAGAACTCGTCATCTGGATTTACTTGGATCTCAATGTTGGTTTTCACATTGCGACTTTAACTCAAAACCTTTTGTTTCAAACATCAACGGGTTTTCTGCAAACTCTTGTGATTGAAATTGGTTAACTACATCGATTTAGTCTTGAATATTAAAAATTACCAAAAAAATAGAACAATATCATTGATAAGAATAAACAAGGGTCATACATAAAGGATGAGAAAAATTATGGGCCTTAATTAAGGTGATGAATCCTAACCATAAGTTAAAGTCGTATGTAAAACCAGGAATTGTTGTAGCGTAGTTGTTATGACGACATTAATTTATATTAAAGGCTATTAACTTAGTGACTTTCCATTTATGTGGTCTTAAATGTATCGATTACTGGCTAAAACTGTAATCGAAGCCAAAACCTTTGTGCTTTGTGACGCGTACTTAACATTTAGGTCATTGAGTTGAAATTTAATGATTCACGTTTCCGATTTCGATCAATAAGCGATTTCTTATAGTTGTCATCTATGTTACCTACCTTACTCCTGATATGGCTGAGCTGCATTGGTTACGACTTTACAAAATGAAATCATTCTAATTCATATTTTTCTCGGCCTATGATGTGTGCTACTGATGTCGACAAATATAAGTAGTATGTATCATCAATCGAAAGTGAAATGCCTGGAGGCAGAAAGTTAAGATCGAAGAAAAGAGGACGAGAATATAGAATGATTGGTGTAGCAACGAAAGAACAATGAAGTCTGAGACAACTGATTGACATTTTACAAATGAAGTATTTACTGTATAGTTCTCAGATTTTAATAAGCTGTTCTGTAATTCTGTATTCACTTACATTCGATTGCCCCCACTTGTGTTCTCGTTCACTACAGGCCTGATTTTTTATTTGACTCACCTACACTTATTTTTCCTCTATTTTTTCATTCAAGTAAAAAATTTTATTGTGATGAAATAAATATTCAGTTAGGTCTTAAAATATACTGAATTTGCTTTCGAGCATATAACTTCTGATAGGCTTCTGAAGCTCCAAATCATGAACTGATTTTGAACAAGTAACCATTCAAAACCAAAATGCCCTCAATAGGCATTTCGTCCAAGTATAGGACTCCTCATTAGTGCATAGTCAACCTATTCGCTTACGATATATATATACATATAGACCCACTTAATCAAATGGTCGTTGAGAATTATTGTATCTGATGAACTGAAACAAACTTGACAATATGATAAAACAACAGTTCGATAAATACTTTATAACTCGTTAATAAAGTATTTTATTTTATACGCCACTTTCTAACAATCGATGTTTTCTGTATCACAAATAAATTATTCTGAAAATATTTACGAATTTGTTGTTTTCTTCAATGAACTGAATGAGTGTTATGGATTAATGGATTTGATGACATAAAACAGGTTTTGATTTGCTTATAAGCAATGTGAATGGGAGGAGAAGGAGATAAAAATAACTACTCAAATCTCTTTTCTACATACTCATTAGAATTAACAGAGATCATAGGCCACTAACTAACTAACTAGATTATTTTCTGGTAGGAAATGACATAGAAATAATTACATACAAAAATAAACAAGAGTAGATATCTTAGACGATTGTACAACATGAAATATTTTGATTTGTCACATGCCAACAAAATTGGAATCTTATGGTTAAGCTTAATTCCTTACTCATTACATCAGTTGAACAATTTATAAATTAAAATTTCATTGATTTTTTCAGGAGACTTGACAATAATGTAATTTGTGGTTTGTTAATATACCTAAGATTTTCCTAAAGAGTTCATACTGACTTTACAAAATCTAAAAAAGCTCAGAAAAAATCCATACTGATTGGTCACAAACAGCGCATTATTCTTATTTAAAGTTATTCAAAATGGGGTTCTCATTAAGAAATAAGATGAGCTATTTCAGCTCAAGTTAAAGAAACTGCTACGTATATTAAAAAACATTTATCACTTTTATGAGATTGAGATAATCCTAAAACGACATCCAGAAAAATATGTATAGTTTTTATATGATCTATAAAGTTTTCTACCATCACAACTGATTCCTATGTCTTGAAATCAAAGTATGTTTGTTTTTATGGCTGATGATTATTTTTCATCACGAAAATCTATATGTGGTTTTTACAGTTTTTCATCTAATCTTGGATACTATCCACCTTATTTTGTTGAACTCTGGAAACATGATGTATGATATATTGTTTATAGAAAACCCGTTTATCATGATATCCTGTTACCTTGAGACACCGGTAAACTGTTCATTCATTAGTTTACACGTTGGTCTCTAAGTGAACATACTTTCTGATTATTGAAAGAAGTATCAAAGATTCCCGTTGTGAAAATTAGAACTATATATATCACGTTGTTTTATAATTCCGATTATGCTGAATAGTTTATTTATTTGAAGGCTGGAATAATTTATTATCTCACAGTTCAGGGATATATTTCATAAATATATTTTTAATAGAATTACAAGATTTTATTAAACATGCAAACAGAAAGGTAAAAGTTGGTGTATTTAATATCTTCAAATAATAAACATTATTTTATATATACTAAACAAAAATACTAAAATTCAAAGGGCAGTTGAAGCATACTTTGTCATAGTTCATGGAACCCCTTCACTGATGAATACTAACAATTTCACGTTTAATTGAATCCATGATTTTTAGATTTAGAGATAAATGAAACATCATTCAATCACTGAATTTATGTATATCGATTGATATTTTCAAATTATTGTCGAGTGATGATATTAGCTTGTTAATCTATTATAATCAGAGTGGCTAGGCCACCATCGATAACCTGGAAGCATTGGACCGCTGTTTCGTCGTAGCATGAGACTCCTCAGCAGTGAGCATCCACTCTCCCGTCTTGCGAGCTTCCAACCCAGGACCTATTGGTCTCGTGCGCAAGAGCTCAACCACTAGACCACTGAGATGGCCGGCATGCAATGGTGTTAATATCTAACTTCAAGCAATCCACGGAGTTGGAGGGAAAATTGTTTTTAAAACTAGTTAAAAAGTAGTGTAATGCTGAAGTATTCGGTAATGATCATTATATTAATGTAATCATGAAATGAATCCATTAGTACTTATAATGTAATATTATTCAATTAAAAATAATAGTGTAAGATGCTTTAAAATCATCCTGTTATCCTTATTACAAAATTTATATTTCCTCACCTTATATCTAGTGATTAATATAACTAAAGATTCCCATTATGATAAATATTAATAATCTTCCATCAAAACTATAACAATGTTATCAAACATTTGAACAACAATCTATTCAGAACATTATTGAATTAAAGATTTTTGGGAACTGATGAATAAAAACGGTTAGTTTGATTAGTAAATAACATCCTCTTGGAAGACTATTGACAAATCAAATGATACTAATAAACTAGAACGTCATTCTTTATCTTAGGGCTTTATTATACTATTCACTTGATTATTCACACTGAATTAAATTTCTAGTTGAATAGATTCTGACAAAAACTTAAATGTTGTTGAGTTCCAAAATATTTTAATAATGATATTTGTTCTTGGCATTAACTTCTATCTATTTTATTTGGTAATCCAGTTTTAACCATATTGATAGATGCAGACGACTTGGTTGGGGTCCATGTGACTGTCGTAACCAATGGTTGGAAACTGTGTACATGGTTCGGAATCGACCACAATGGTGTAGGTGTATACATTCTTTGTCTTCCTTTAAACAATGAGATTAAAATCGCTTCATATCTTTCTTTCTACAAACTAATTCATTCTTCATGTACTATATCCTTATATGCCATGTTTCTTTTATAAATTACCACCATTAAATTAACCACTTCTATGAATCAAGTGTTAATCTTGTTGTGCTAATGAAGTATGACAATTTGGACCGTTGCATATATGTACCTGATCCGACGGTGTAGCTGACTAACTGACTGATCGACTATTCAATAGTCAGTAAAGATGATTAAAATTAGCCTTTAATAAAAAAAAACCCAGTGAATGGAATTATTACTTTCAATATAAAAAAAGATTTTTCTTATCACTTACTATACTTCCAATCCATATTTTCAATATGTTTTGTTTTAAATACTTCTTAACAGAAATTATAATGTTCGTTAGATGTAAATAGATAATTATCCAATTATCATCATCATAATCATTCAATATTATACAGAAAATAATTATTTCAATGATTAAATTACTTAACATTTGCATTGTATAATGAACATTTTGTTTTATTAAAATATGATATAAATCAATATTATGTAATGAGATCATAATCAATCAATCAATCAATCCATCTGATCATCATTATGATCATGATCATGATCAGAAGAAAAAAGAAACTACATAAAGTACAATTCAACTCTTCTTTTCAAATGTCCGGAATCATTAACTAATTGTCAATATATCCCATATGAAGTAAAATATTTGAGAAAAGGTGTTTTTTTTCTTTTCAGATTCTTTTTTTTTCTGAACATTGATAATTTTTTACAGGTAATGATTTCTATTTTATTTTTTGTTTTGCTTTTTTTTTTATTTTTCTTCCATTTGGAAATTTTTCTCGTGAATTCATAGATTGATTGATCGGTGCTTCATTATTGTATCAAGTTGTTATGTGTATGTTATAGTTCATAGTTGAAAATTCTCTACTCTATAACCAATGAAAAGTGAGAATGTTTATTGATTAGATTAAATCATATAGGTGAAATTGTAGGCGTGTCTCAATTGTACAACACACACACACACACGCATACATTAATTAAATGCTTAGAATGTATAGATGATAATTATATATTATCTATGTATACATACTTATATATTAGACAGACATGATTGTGCATATTTATGTGATTATGTGGCTAAATGAGATAGTGATAGGATCAAAAGGGGAACAACTTATGGAATTTTTTTTTCAAAATAAAAATTTAGTACAGGGTATATAAATCAGCGAATAAAATAAATTTTATGTGTACTTCCGCTTAGGTTGATATTTGATATATTTTCATTGAGACTTTCCCTCTCCACCCTCAGAATCTTACTACCTTGATAAAACAAAGATAACAAGGTAAAACAAGGAGAAGGGAAGATAGTGAGAATCAAAAACATCCAGAGACCAATTTAATTTCATATGATTATGTTAAGTGATACTAGGCTCATTGTATGTGTTTACCTGTTTAATTTGTAATGGTTCAACTTGTTAGCTCGTTACCATGGTACTTATTTCGGATTACGTTTTTATTTTTAGTTATTGTTTTATTTTGCCAAAAAGTATGTTTCCGGAGCCTCTTGTCAATAAATTGTAATGTAGTTGAAACATTCTTCACTATTCAAGATAATTATTCACTTTTAGGTAATTGCAACTAAGATAAACTAATGTTAAGTGTCAGTTAAAAGGGGAATTTTAAAGGAAAAATAAATAAAAAAATATTCAGCATCCTGTTGAGAAGCAGTATTCTTGAAAACAAACCAAGAGCTCAATTAACATTTGTAGTTACCTTTAGACTTTAATGTGTAAGAAAGGTTTAAAATATATTTATTAATTGTGCAGTTTAAGCAGATGATTATCAATGTTGAAAAGGTTATTTTAGATTTAATACCCTAGCCTGATAATGTAAAATAAGATTGTTGCCGTAGTGATGTGTCTGATACGGCTCAAACAGAATCACAATGAGAGCATCAGTTCACACAAGATTACAGATATTCCATACTGATGTTTCTCAACCGGGATGAAACTTATTTCTAGGGCTTCCTGCCAGTCGCTTCCAATCACCTAAAATCCAAACACAGTTCACGCTTTATTAGTTACTTAGACTACTGTCCTCATTCCGATTGATTATTAGGATATCGTCAGTAATAACAACTAGACAGACATGACATTCTCTACTGCTGTGTGAACATTCGGTGTAAGAAGTCACTTGATATTCCTATTTAATATCTGTTATTATAGAGATAGTTACGAACTCATTTGGAATATCTGGCAGCTTAAGTCAACAACTTTCTCTTTTGATAACCCTCCCTCATATAAACTGTTCAACAGTAATATGATTTAAGACTGTGGCAACTTTTGTGAGTATTCTTTACCAGCTGATATCAACAAGGCGACCAGTGAAAACCAGGTTACTTTGAAAAGGTATTTTGTTCAAGTCTGTGACTCGTACTTAATGCCCACCCATAACTTCACATGGATTACAATCTCGAGGATTAACTGACATAACTCATCACAATATACTCGATCCAAACCAGACAAACGTCACAATGTTTTTCGTTTGACTGATAGAACCAATTCCTAACAGTTAGGAACTGTGAAATTACAATCTTTCCCTATTAGTTTCATATATAAATCCGAAGTCATAAAATGAGGTAAAACGAATGTCTAAAAAATAATTATTGAATATATAAGTACTGACAAGAATATATCGTTGAAATTATAAATTCTTAAAAATGGAGCTTATAATCCCAAATGCCTTAATGTTGTCTTGTTGAATTCAATCAAAAAAACTATACTACTATATTCGTAATAATTTGAAGTGAGGAAGCGAATTCGTAGCTGAGGGAGAAATGTTTATGGCATATTGCTTGAATCTGTGGAGCTTCCACAATTAAAAAATTGATAGCAAAGCAACTCATCACTTCATCTCATTTCAGGCAGACGGAAAAACACAACGATGGACGAAAATAAATACAGTATCACTTATTCAGTAAACAGTATCAACTGAAACCAACAATACATTGGAGAAAGTGGACATTTTCTTCACTGATGCGTGTACGTTGACGTTGACTACCAACCACATAGCATGATTTGCTAAGGCAGATAACTAACAACATAAAGTTAACTGAGCAAAGTATAAAAATCTTAGATCAGAGAAGTCTCAAGAACGTTAGGTAATTTCGAGAAGCCAGGGATTCAGGTCATTCTGTAATCAATAAACACATCAACACATATATCGTTGAGATTTACTTCAGTTGATTCACATAAAGTTGATGGAGAAAGTACATTTGCATACAACACATTTACAAAATCTATAAAATCTTTCTTAACACAAGATACAATTACAAGAAATCTTATATCTCTCGAAAGTTTATTGAGGCAAAATTGACCTGAAAAATGTAATGTGTTTGTGGAATACTTTTCAAGCATTTTGATTGAATATTTACTTGGCAAAGTATTTCATATTTAAAATGAAGTTGGCTACATAAATTAAAAGCTATAATTATAGGTATAAAAGACATATAATTTATTATCAAAATAGTAGGAAGCTGTCATAAAATTCTTAGTATTAAAATAGATTTAAAGTTGCTGGGTAGATTTAAGGTGAGAACAAATTACTTAAAAAATATGGAGGGGACTTAAACCTTGAAATATTCAGGATATCGACAGTCAAACATTACATTCTTTGTAATGTCTATAGAAAACTTTGATAGCTTTACTAAAGTTGGATTGTAGATAGCAGCGAGGCCCAGAAATGGTATTTCGTTCTATTTAGGGGTTTGTTAGCTAAATGCACCTACAACCCAATTCATCTAGCTCTAAAAACTATTGCGATATACACTGAGCTACTGGGTCTAGAGAGTCACATATCTACCAAACGTGTATGAAGTTATACAAAACAGGGTTTAAATTTTTCAGCTGATATTGTGGACTGAATTTTGTCTATATCTGTTGGCATATGTGTTTCCCTCTTTTTTATAAAAGACTTAAAAGCTGTTTGAAGGTCAATCCTACAATTTACTTCTAGTATGTGCCTCGTTATAAAGATACTAGGTTGTCTGTTCCGTGGGCAAATCGAGGCCTGTGATTGCAACTGAATCAAAGTTAATGTTGACATTCTTTACCAATCCCTGTCGATTAACATTATTACTCCCCTTGATATATATTTATTTTATACATATGAATTAGGAAGTAAAATGGGATATAATGTTTGATTTTATGTGGAATAATGCGCTTTTAGTGATGATCGACTTGACAGCATTATATTTTTTGAAGGTTGATTGCGGCCCGCGTTTTACAATGCTCTGTTCGATACTCATCAGTATTTAAACGTGATAAAAATCCCTTTTTACACAACAAACTAAAGATCGGATACTGTGTCCGCCTAATTTTACGCCAATTTATAAACTTTGAGGGTCAATAGTGTTTTGTTTAGCTTTTTGACGTGTTCAATTAAATTTTTAGTACCAACGCATCGGGTTCTTTTGAAAAAGCACCTTATAAAACCAGGTTTAGACCAAAATGCATAGAAAGTATGAAACTTTAGGTCTTTTTGGTTTTGTATAAATTAATTATTTTAGATTTAATACAGTCAATTACTCGTGCAAAACGTAGAACCTGTGATCGAGAATACGACTGTAAAAGAAGATATCGACCAGTGAATTAAAGTAAAAGTTATTAAGGTAGTTTAGAAAATCATTATCTAAAGGAAGATAAAAAGTGAATGGACGTACAGGAATATGGACGATTCTGAGTTGTACCACTCAAGATATCCAACCACTGGTTACGACAATCACACAGACCATAACCAGGTAGTTTGTACCTACCTAAATGTGTCCATCCATCAGTCTTTATGTTTATGAACTGACACTATGTCTTGGTTTGGCCAACCAAAGCTTTCTTCCAACCTCCTACATCATCCATCGTTGGGCGTTGAGATAGTCGGTGGATGAGCGCACATAATACATGTCCGAAGCATCTAAGTAGATAAGGATAAATTACTTCGCTAGTCAATTTACTGTCCTAATCTAGCAACCCGGTTTTAGTTTCAACATTGCCATCGTATATTATATTCTCACTCTCATACCTTTAATTATCGCTTAGGATTTATATGATCATTTTCGGTTTTCATATAAAATATTTTGACAAATAAACATGTAATTTTTCAATTCTCCTTCGTCATATCACATAACTTTTTCAACTTACAGAAGAGATTGACTGTTTTGTATACTATATGGTTTCCAGATTCTCAAAGCTGTCTGTATCCCCCTAAGTAGTATTGGTTTAGTTTGAGTCAAAGTAATATTATAATGATTTTCTCAATCTTATTAACTTTAAATTTATCTGTGGCT